ACAATATGCGTTTTTGCTGGCTGTAGCAGCGCTATAGCGCTGCACAGCAAAAACGCATAAAAATAATAAAAGTCCAGACCTGATACGATGCGTGGCCGTTGGCCGAAATAGTTGCTTCTTCCAGGAGTGCTTCCTTTGCTAGATATCATTAGTGCAACTCATTTTTTATTTTTTACTAATTGAACGTTTAGGACTTCCCAGTAATGCGTTATCATTAGCTTCTTAGTTATGCCTTATCACCGAATTCATCGTGCTTCCCAGTTCTTTCATGCTGTTGTGCACAACGGTCACAGCTCGGAAGCAGAATGGCCGCTGTTAGCTTATGCAGTTGCATCCAGGAAATGAATTCCGGAGCCTCGTTCCTGCTTATCTTTTATTTGAACCGTGGTGGCCTTAGTGCTGTTAGCAATGAACGACCAATTCCGACGAGAATCGTGTGGAGCCAGCAGCTAGAAGTACGCCTAATTTTTTTGGGCCAGAGGACGGAGCTGTTCCTACCATGGGCCGGTTTTGCGAGGCTGGCAGGCTTTCGTCGCTCCACTCAAACAATGCAGCTTGACTTTTTACCCAACTTTTTATTCTTTGTAAGCAACGTTTTTTTTTTTTTTTTTTCATTTGAACAGGAGAATCTTCAAATTCTAGCAATTGTGGCTGATTTTGATAACTCGCTGGCTAATTTTTACATCCTCTTTATTATTTTGATGACGTTAACAGCTCGAAACAGCCAGTTTTTCAAGTCGCAGCACTTCCAGGATTGCACACTGAAGCCAATTTCACAGTCACGGCTGTCTTTAAGGCGCTTTGTGCACGGCTTTTTAACCGACCTCACGAAGCTTGACAGAGGAAACCAACACAACTACATTTCATATCTCACAATATGTTTGAGAAGGCACCTCTACAAAGCTGTTTTGGAGAACGTTGGGCTTACTGCAGATGTCGGCTTCCTGAGAAGCTGTTTGATTAGAACTACTGTGAAAGCTTCTGCGACTAGCTCTGTCCTGCTTTTTGAATTCGAAAGCATATTTAACTGAAGGCCAGAAGACGTGGACTGGGAAATTATTGGGGATGTAAAGTGGGGAAGTGAAGAAGGAAGCAAATTGATTCGACGGTAGAATGAAGCGATAAGTTCTGAAGCCATTTTATGCATTTTTTATTACATCGTGGTACAAAAACGCATTAAGGCGAGACCGTGGGTGTGCGCGCGCCTGTACGGACATATTTTAACTCGGTAGCTGCAAAGATTGGAAAGTTGAAATTTGGTAATAGAGTCTCCAAATCAAAAATGAAATGAACAGATCACTTATAGCTCTAAACTTGGGCCTGAATGCAGACACGGCAGATTTCAAATTTATTCAAGAGACAAAAAAGTTAAGCGAAAGCCGGCCTGCAAGGCCAATAATCCGAAGCCCACTTTCAGTTCGCTACCTGGTCTCTAACGTTACATACACATGTAAATGGATTTTATGTTTCAGGAGCCAAAAAGATAGAAGTTTTGAGAAGGAAATTCGTGACTGTATGCTTAACTTCAGGACATTTTCAGATGTGCCTTCACTGTTGACCTGGTGCATGAGAGTCGGCCTCTAACGATGATTTCACTTCACAGATACGAGAGCCAGAGAGCTGACATTTAAGGGAATCCTTTCCTGGCCATGTGTCGTTATCTCCTGTGCCCCAATGCTACAAGTTGGCCTCCTGACTTAGCATCATGTTAAAATAGTGGTTGCATGCAGTTAGCGATTAGGCTGCCTGAAATCAACGAATGCGTTGTTCAAAGCACCGTCGTGGCCATATGAAAAAAAGATCGGTGTACTGAACCGGCAGCAGCTTAATCGCAAAAATTCCAAATCCTGCCCACTTGCTGCTATTATTTTTTGCTGAACAGTTTTTGGATGGCTAAGAGGGTGAGGCTGCCGGGAGAGGAGACAGGGGGAGAAATCAGTGACCGAATGTGAACTGTAGCTGCATGTGATGGCCTTTCAGTTACTGCTAAAAATAGTGCGAGAAGATCACGTTTGGGGCGCGTTTGCTGCCCGTGCTGCTTTCCCGGCCCACGTTGGGCGACCGAGCAGTACACCAGCTGGTCGTCGTGGCGGTGGTACCGTGGGTGCTCATGCGAATTTCAAGATGGGAGTAAACAAATAAACAGTGAAATTTGTGACTGAACGAGCAGTGCGCCGTCGCTTTGATTTATGTACTGGTTGCAGTGCGCGCCGCTTATCAGGGGTTGGGATGCGGCCCTGGATTGCACTGTGAGTTTCAGTTTGATTGTTGTTTTGAGCCTTCAGCTGTTCCTAGTCGTGCCTGCGTTCGCCACTGGCATTTCAAGTGGATCCTTAATCGATTTCCAGCTTTTATATTTGCACAACTCATCTGATCGTTCCCCTTCCTTCTTCCTCCCCGCCGGTTCTCCGTTGCATTCAGAAACAGGGCCAAATTTTGTACCAGCTTTGGCTTAATAAGAGAATGTGGCACTGGCATGGGCATTTCATCCTGCTGGACCCATGATGCGTATCTCCTGATGCGTCAAGCTTTTATAAACGCAAAAATTCGAAAGTTTTGCAGCACTCGTTTTTCCCGCACACCTCTTCCCTTACTTGAATTTTTGTCACTCTTTCCATGTGCGCTGATGCGGATGCGCTGCAGAAATGCATCAAGGCAACAGAGCACTGCTTTTGGGTCTGGCCAGTCATTCTTGCGTGGGAATCCAAGGGCCGTGGAGTATCGCTGACGCATCGAATTCTATTCATTCATCTCTGCAGCACTGTTCTAATCGCTTGTGGCCTGGCGGCTAGACCGGTTAAGCTGTGATCAGTGATGTGCAGCCTCCACAAATGTTGCAAGATTCGCTACGCTGTTTTTTCCAAACATCGCGGCTGTCTCCATGTGTGGGCACCGTTGCAAGACCAGCGCGTGAAATGATGCCTTGGAATTGTCTCAGAATGAGTGCCTTCCTAAAACCCATTTCGTAAGCAAGGGGATTTTGAAGTAGGGGTCAGTGCAGGCAGAGAAGCATCTAATACAGGAGAGATTCATTCGGATCCATGAACTGTGTAGGATGCGAAGCATTAAATCCGAGAAAGCATCACGAATATTCGCAGAAATTAAGAGGGCAGTGGAAAGTGACCAATATATTTTAGAAATAAATATGTAAATTTAACTGAAAATGGAAACTCCAAAGGTAATATAACATTTGAATGGGGTGTAAATGCTAGTGATGATTTATCGGATCCATCCAGAGAGCTGAGTCAGATTGTTGCTTCCGGCCAACATCCAAGCTCTCCAAACAATATCTGGAGAGAATCGGGTCTGCTGTGTTCGATCACAGAGAGCTGTCCGCGTGACACATGCTTGTCGTATTGAGGGAATGCATTGTCTCATTTTCCCCGTCCCGCTTCTTCACATTTCGGACCCTTCGAAGCATAAACAGACGCGCAGACACATGTGTTGTCCTCGATGCGCACCGGCACAATTATTGCACTTGCTGCTGATGGGTGGCTGAGTGGGCGCCTGGATCCATTCCAATCGAATTCTACATATTTAATGTCGGACCTTGCACTTCTTCGGAATTTGCTGCACTCCGACGCTTCACGCCCTCCGAATTCCAGCTGAATTCTGTTCTGGAACTCGCTGCGCCCGGCGCCTCTCACTGCCCCAATCGATTTCCACGTTTCGAACAAGCAGATATATTTTCAAAACTTTTATGTGCCGGCCAAAGCCTTGTCTGGTTTCCATAATTACGCCTTTCGATTTTCATGACTTATTTGTGGTGAGTTTGTCAAAGGTCCCAGTGCTGCTGGCCCGATCCCGTTCTGGCAACACACATCTCTGCAGCATGGCGCCGTGGCAGCCTCAGAACAAAAAGCCATCCCCTCGAGTGCCACACCAGACTACTGCTTCAGTGCGTGTGCCACCACAGTGATTTATTTTTTGCCGTGCATTTTCAATGGGTCTTTGCAGCGTGTTAAGCCGCCTCCCTCCCGCTGAGTTTCACAGCACTTAGCACGAGCCCTTCATCGCCGACTGTACGAGAACAGCTTTCCGGTGAACGCACTGAGAACAGTGCGGCCCCGAATCTCTCCAGCCAGCCGCCACAGCAGTTTCCCACGCCGATAAGCTGGGCGGGAGCATCCGGCGAGGCGCATTTTCGGACACCGCACCTAGCCGCTGCTATTGTTGTTTGGACAGTGCCCAGACGATGCTTCGGCGCTGCGCGCCTCGCTGCTGCGTCTTCGCCGGCCGCCGTACATGCGGCTCCTCTCGCCTCTTCCCTCTCTTTGGTTGTGCACGGGTTTTAAACAGATCACGGGTGTCAGGGTGTGTGTATGTGTGTCACTTGGGAGTGACAGCGGAAGCTAGAACTGAGTTGCTGTGTTTTGTACTCTCTGAGCTGCCTTTGTGGTGAGTGATGAGCTCACATCCAGTTTCAGGCTAGTCGATCAGTGCGGCTAGGCAGGCTACCAGAGAGATAGGAGTTCCAGATCCAGCTCTCTCCAGGCTTGAAGTGAGCTCTCGTTGCTAAGCAGCGCATCTGTAGGTACCTGAATTTTGAGCTGCGCCGGTGGGACGACTGAGGTTCGGGCACTTCCTGCTTGGTCTTTGGTGTCCTGAGCTTCTAGATTTGGTGGCCTGCCAGATAGCGTGTGCTGTTGCGTGCACAGTGACATCATCGGATTGCACTGGCCGCTTGCACAGCCCTGTTGTTTACGCTGAATTGAAAGAGAAGTTGTAGCTGTCCGGAGGGGTCGCTCCCTTGGGTTTCCTAATCATTTTCAGTTTTGCACTCGGTGATTTTTTAATTGCCGGAGATTCTCTAAAGGGCGCTGTTGAAGGCAGTGCGGTATGGGAGGGGATGAGTCTTTTGCAGCGCCGGGTCTGTGGAACTTTGCGGCTGAGGGATGATTGGGTCGGCCCTCGTCTACCTGTGGTTCAGCTCTTTCTTGTCACACTGCTAGCAGTGCGCATATGTGCATTTCATCGGCTCCTTTGCTTTCTCTCTCTTCCGTCCAAATGTATGACGTTTGTTTCCCCCACGTTGGAGTGATGAAATGAAAGAACGAGTTGTTCGCAGCGTCAAAGCAATTTTTTAATGAGATTTTATAGGGCTGTGCTTCACTCATCGCTGACACTTCCACTTACGTGTCTTCGCCCCCGGGCTGCGCCGGGTGTTGTTTCATCAAGTGTACTTGAGCTGCATCGCTTGGAGAGGGCAAAGGCCCGTCTTATTTTAGCTCTTCTTCCACCCCTGTCCTGCTCTCTTCCTCCCTCCGGGT